ATCCCGCGAGAGAAGCGGCTGCAAGCTTCCTCTTCCACTGGGGGCGATGCGAAAAAGGGAAGGAAAACAAGAAGAAACAGAAAGTTTGAAACGCGGTTTCGCCCCAGCGCCGAATTCACCCCGGCAAGCGTGGGCGTGGAAGAAAAAAAAGACGGAGACTCCATACAAAACGGGATTTGTCGAATACAGCCGTTTTTGCGTTTATTGTGTGAAGAAGGGGCGGCCCCGCCGCCAGAAGATTGTCGTTTTTTTTTGTTTTGTTTTTTTACGGCTGTGAAAAAAAAAAAAACCCATAAAAACAAAGAGGCAACAGGGATGCGAGCGCCAAACGGCACAGTGCGAGCAACCAACTGCAGCTAAACCCGTCTTAGGCCACAAGTCTGCCCTGCACAAGAAGATCGTAGAGTTGTTGATGCGCGCTTTCCCCTGCTGCCTGGATGGTCTCGGTGGCTGTTTGTAGCAAAAGACGGCGTCGCATGAGTGCGCTCCGTTTCTCGTAGAGGGTGTTGAAGAGATGCGGAACTGCAGGGTGGCTTCCCAGCCCCAACCGCACCATGTGGTTGGCCAATTCGACGACGAGCATGAGGTCGAGCTGGCAGCTCCCGCAGTTCTTTTCGTTCCCAGGGCGCTCCGCCTCAAAGATCCACAGCAACGCGTCTGCGCACTGCTTTGCAAGCGCTCGGTGCCGCGAGGGGTTTGCCCGAAGACAGGCTGATAAAAGAATATTAATGTTTTGGGCTTCTTGCAGCGTTGCGCCATCGTGGGGCGCCTCATTCGCCTCCATCGCTTTTCTGGCACACAAAAGAAGAAGGGCAGTGGCGTGCGCCACCTCTTTTGTCTCCAGATACGAAAGCAGCTTTAAAATGCCGATACAATGGTGCAACTGAAAGTGTAGCTCCTTTCCTTCGGAAAGAGCCACGACGCGCTCAAGAAACGTTGAGATGACATCCGGTTCCAGGTCAACGTGGGCGACGGCAAGGGCCTCAGCAAGAGTTGCCAAAACATCGGCATCGCATTTGTTGCTAATTTCCTTAAAACGCTGCGACACAGCTTCAAACAGAATGCGAGAACGCACGCCACACCGTAAAAATAGCCGCGTCAGTTCTGCAAATGCCTTGGGGGAGGTCTGTGGAAAAAGTGCGGCGGTGGCGTGCTCTGTCATGCACCTCAAAATGTTGTACTCGGTCGAGCTCCTCCTCGCGATCAGTTCGAGCACGGCCATCATTGTAGAGAGTGAGAGGGCTGTGTGGTGTGCCGCCATGTTCTGCAGCAGAAGATCGCTAGTGGGGTCGTTAGGAAAGGCTTCGGTAAGGCATTGCAACACAACCACGGCGTTGCTTGCGACAGCGGGAAGCGAAGCGGGATCACTTTGCAGTATGTGACGGACAAGTGCAAGAAATACCGGCCGCGCGGCCGTGAGGCACGCTGCTCGAACGGTATTGTCACACGACGCGTTCACCCCGCACCGAACGAGACGCACTACAAGAGGCAATGAAAACTTTAACTTCACGTCTGCCACGCGTGCCAGGAGCACACCAAACAGATATTGATGACTCACCCGCGCCGCGGCATAACTCTCCAGGCATTCAACGACCTCCTTGGGCCCCAGCAGTGGGCGGAGCTGAATGGTACGAAGGATGTACGCCTTCATAACCCGGTCTTTTAGATCACCGTAACGCTCCGCATCCAACTGAGCGAACCCCTGCAACACAAGTGGTAGATCCGACGCCGAGCACTGCTGACGAACTCGCAACACGACTTCCGCAAGGGAGATCGGAAGTTCTTGAAGAAACTTTAGGTCATCCTCAGGGAGAGTGCCGCGTAGTTGTTGCAGCCTTGTAGCAATGCGTACAAGAATGCCAACTTCCCCTGGTGTTAACGGATGTTGAGAGTAAATAATGCGCCGCAGGATTGCTGGATAAGCAAACCTAATGGTGTCTTCCAGTTCGCAAAGCACTTGCAGCGATGAAATTGTCTCCGGCACAGACAATAGTGAATTCGCCGCCCCCGCCTCTGCCGCTAGACGATTTCGGAGTTCAGCAACCGCATCGCTGTCTGACGGTACATGAAATGTCACGAAAGACCACAACACGGCTGAAATCTCCGCTGAAAGGAGCAACGGCCCTAACGCTTGCACGACGGAGAGGTACCGTGCTGTCAGCTCGTCCTGTCGGAGCTGGCAAACCGCAGCGGCAGAAACGAGCAATCGCGCGGCTGTTCTGCTTGCGTACCGTCGCTGGTCCTCTGTACGGGCCAATTTAAACTGCCTCGGCGCTGCCACTGTCACTGCGGCGGCGAGTTGATCCAACAGTTGGCGGGAAAGGTGATGAATCGTATGGGGCACGCACATCACAACCGTAATCTCACTTAGGGCGTCGAGATCAAGCGTTTCGTTGCACTCCACATTCTCACTGTTTTGCTGCTGCAGAACACGCGTCAGTGTGGGGTCCAACACGTCCGTGCGAAACGCTCTTAGCTCCGTTGGCTCTGCCTCCACTGCATACTCAGACACGAGTCGGAAGAGAAGACTCACAATGGAAAGCACCTGATAACGCCCTTGAGCCACCACAATATTGCCACCGCGGCGAATAACCGCCGCAATCGGCTTTAAGTGGGCAGCAACGACGTCGTTGAGAAAAATACTGCAGTGCCGCAGTCCAGGTGATCCAGGGTGACGTGCGACGCCAAATTCCCGTTGCTTCGCCGCCACATGCGAGACAAGAATATTCATCCGTATGACCGTCTCCGATAACGATGCAAGGCTGGCGTCGGAAGCGCCAGAGGTGAGTCCCTTGACAACCATGGTATGCAGTCCAACGAGTTGCTTCGCTGTCGCCCCATTCATGCCGCATGCAGCCACATAGACGGTAAAGCGTAAAATTTCCTGCAGCAACTGTGCCGCCTCCTTTTGCTCTGCATCACTCATCACGCTGGCACGTTTTGTTTTCGCCAATTGTCTCTGAACCGCCTCTACAACACGTGGAACAAAAAGCGCCGTCACCTCCGACAAGGAGCGTTCAACCTCCATAGACGTGCTGCCCCACTTTTGTTCTGCCCGCTCGTGTTGGCGTCGTCCTGCGATGCGGAAACGCCCAACAAATCCATCAATTAAAAACAACAGCCCGTCAACAAGGTAATGGTACGAGCCCTCCCACTCCAATAATGCAAGCAGCCGTGGGAGCTGCAAACTGAGCTTCTTTTCCTCTCCACGCACAAGGAGCTCTACGGCGGTTTCAAGAGCCAAATAAAAAACAGTTCCAAGGGGTACAATGGCATCACCTTCCCCACCCTCCTTGTACTTCACACGGGTGAACTTTTCCAGTAAGTCTGCAAGGGGCTTCAGCCCCTCAACGCAATCTGTTGGTGCCACCCCTGCACGATTCTCTGCCCGAATACGCGCCTCGATCAGAGCTGTGCTCTCCGCTGTGAGCTGCAAGGAGAGCCGAGTGGGCAGCGGGGAAAGAGCAAACGATCGTGAGAAAAAAGCAGCAGCATGTAGCAGCTCAAGCATCTCCATCGCACTATGTCCAACGCACAGCCCACTACTCAGCACCGCCTCGGGGTCAAACCCAGCGGAAAAGAGCCCGTATGCGATATTCGCACGCCTCGATTGTGGAGACGGCTCCTCCGTTTCGTTTTCTTCTTTTTCCTCGGCATCAACGCAGACATCCCCTTCGTGCCTAAGAGACGAGATTTTTACCACCCGCATGTTGTGAAGCATCTGCTCCACCGCAGCGTCATCGGCGCGCTCACAAAAGAGTGCCGCACCTGTGAAGATAGCTGCCTGAACAGCCTCGCCAAGATCTTTTGAAGGTAATGCCCGCACACGTTGTGCCATTTCTGGGGTGCAAAGGACCTCCGTAAATACGGCCGGCCGTGCCTCCACAGCACAACACAGTTTTAGAAAGCAGTCAGCTGCATTGCCTTTCAAGCGTTCTCGTAATAGTGGAGAAAGGGCGGTGTCCACCATTGCCAAAAAGCAAAGAGCATCTAGCAAGTCAAACCCGTGCTCTTGCACCTGCTCCATGCTACGCTTCAACGTTTCCTCGGATGAGTTGCGATTAAGGTAAACGTCGATAGACTTCTGCAATTGGGAAGTTCCCCGTTCCCATGCTTCCGCGTGTGCAGCGTACATTTCTACTTCACTTGCCATTGCAGAAGTAAGAAGCACAAGGGACATATTCACCACACCCTCAGTTAGTGTTCGTAGATCACGACCAGTTGCTTCTCGGGCTATGTCGGCGGCGGCGGAGACGGTAACTTCTGCAAGTAATCGTCGGGTGGTCTCCTCTAACCATTCCCTGTGTTCAAGGGAGCCACCTTTTTTCTCTCCTCCCTTTTTCGTACCTCCTTTGGGTTGATCTGTCGTCCTTGCTGCTTTGGTACTAACCTCAAAATAATTCCTCCGGAGTTCTAAGGAAAGCCACATCAGTGTGGTCCGCATAACAGTCTCATTTCGCTCGCCTTTTATGGTGGTATTTGACTTTTCATGCCAAAGCAGCGTCGCGGCTTGCACAAGATCCTCCATAACTGCCTCGTATACCGGAGTACTGCTGAAAGCACTTGTACGATACACTCGCAGGAAAGCCACGAGGGTTGAGAGTTGATCCACGCTACGCACAAGCTCCACTGCGTTGAGAACGACCACACCATTTCTAGAGGGGGACTTCTGTTGGTAAACCTGCAGCACGCCGTAAAGTGTTGGGTATTCCTCTGGCATCTTTGCAGCCCGAGCGAGGAGTGCAGCAAGAGCAGCGGCACCAAGTTGGGCTCTTCCTTTTTTGTTGGCCGCCACAGGGGCGGAAGGCGCGGCATTCTTAGTTTCGCCTTGTGTCTCCCCATTCTCCATGTCCTCCAAATGCACATTTGCACACACCGCCCCCCACTCCTCCACAACACGAAGGACGTCAATGGTGAAGTTTGCGTTGGCAGTCTCACCCTTTTCATCGCGTGAAATGGGGGTGGGTCGTTTTACTGCCTCGACTACAGGTCGCGCCTCCTTCAGCTTCTTTTTTGCGGGGGGCAAAGAGGAGGCCCGAGACCCTCGCGGTTTTACGCTTTCGTTGTCAAGGCTTTCCTCTTTGGCTTTTCGTTGCCGGCGTCGCGGCAAGACATCAGTCACCTCCGCTGCCACCGATGCAGCAGCCGCTCCCCGTGCTGCCGCCGTTGCTCGTCTCTTGGGTGCCAGCTGCAGTGCTGAATAGCTCAGCAGGCGGACGCCGCTGTTGCAGGCGACACGCGCCGCGGGTGCAACCCTTGAGAGGGCGCGCCGGCCAAGCATGAAAAGCATGAGTCGCCCACACGTGCCTCGTTCTTCGTCACTTTGTCCTTCTTCACTTCCTCCTTCCCTCCCCCAGTGCGTGTGGAATGAGGATCATGCCGCCAGACATCCAAGCACGCAAGCAGAGCCACGCAGACAAAAAATAATGGGATGTAACGAAAAAGAGGTTGCAGGAGACAAAAAAAAAAGAACAACAAACAAACGGCGGCAATAACAAGCGGAAACACACAAAACAAATCGCGACCTATGTGTACTAATAAACAGAGCCGCATAACACCAGTGATTAAAGCAGGAAACATGACACGCAGCAGTACCAGAAACAACAACAACAGCCCCAGCCAACACGCAGGCCCATACCAAAGCCCAAGAAACATTAATCACACGCTTCCTACGCACAGTGAAGCTCAAACTTCCAAATAAAGGCGTAAAACAAAGATCAATTGAAGAAGAAAAAAAGTATGGTGACTTCATTCGACGTTCACTTTTCACTTCGTTGGGGCCAATGAATTCGCCCGTGCCGCAGTACAGAGCGCACGTCCGGAACAACCAGCAAGGATTCCAACAAGGGAATAAGGGCAAGCAAAACGTCATCGTCTGCCTCATTGTCTGTTGTGCCCACAAATGCGGGTGGGAAAAACGGAGGCAAAATGAGCGCGTTATCTCGATTGGCCAAAACGCATTCCTCCACGTTGTCAACCATGACCATTAACTCCGGTGGAACTTTTAGGATGCGAAGATCCTTCACAAGTACTGTGCTATTTTCAGCTTCACCTTTATCAGACGTCTTGTTGTCGTCAGTGGCAGCGGTAGAACGCGGCACAGTACTTCTCATGCCACTCGTTACAGCCTCAAGGGCGATTATTTTGCAACGTTGCTGTGTGGGTGCCACTGCATTTATCGCACCTGGTGACGTCGTTTCACAGGATGATCCCACATTCTGTGCCGCACCGCGTTGTTCAGGCGTCCCCGTAAACGCAGCCCGAGAGACCTGTCCGCAATGGTGTCGGTAGTAACGACGCTTAATGAGTCTTTCTGGGTCCAGGCGACGAAGAATGGAGTCCGCGTACGGCTTGGTCGAAGATGTAAAAAGGGCAAGATTAAACAGCTTCGCTAGAGTACGAAGAAATAAATGTAAATGTGGCCTTTCCCAAATAAAAAAAAGTTCCGCCCCTGTGGCGGTCGGAATAACCTCTGAAAAGGTTGGGGGATAACGGCAGGCAGACAGTTTTGTTGACACAAAGCAGAGTGTCTCGTCAAGGTCCATGATGAGTACTTTTTGGCGTGTGGCCTGGTAGGAAAGAACGTGGTGAGAGGTTATGGAAGCAATAGGTTGCAACGGCACTCTTGCACCCACGGAGCGTCCAAACTGCATCTGCTTACTGCTTTCGCGTCGATAAACAACAGTGGAGACAGATTGTAACACTTTATCGCCTCTGGCATCTGCTGAGCCATGAGTCAGGCCCAACAAGGCCGCCTTGTTACGCAGCGGATGACGTTGGCCACTGGTAGTGCTACTGTAGTCATCGGTGGTGAAGCCAGTATCGCTCTGGCGATCATCGTGTCGGGCGAGGGAGCGACCAGACGCATGCGGTGGCCACTGAGGTGCTGTGTGCCTCGTTGGTAACGCGGAAACCGTTGGCTGTTGAATGGGTCCAATAATGTTGTTCACAAGGTGGTGCAGGCTTTCCGAGTGGCAAAGATGATACGTTGGTGAGACAAGCGGTGTCGCACGTGTATTTGGCAGCCACTCCACGAGCTCACCCTTCTGACCACGCCGCACACAACGTTGAACCCAACATTCTTTGGGTGCAGCATCACCTTTACCTGTCGAGAACGGGTTGGTTTGTTCTAGCAAGGGGGAATTACCCCCCTGCCCGCCATTCTCTCGTGGTAGTATACTGTCACCAGATGATTCCCACAGCTCAAACGCTGTACAGCTGCCAGAGGAAGTGAGAGATCCGGAGGAATTAGGTTTGCGGCGCCGATACAGCGCAAATTCGGCTTTTTTTTTTTGAGTTGCACCAAAGGGCAAGGATAAGCAAGATGGCTTCGACCAGTGAAGAAGCAACCGAGTACGTAGAGCGTCTTATGAATATTCCTGCATGCCATCACACCGTCCAACAGAGCCTCCTGAAATAAGCAAAAGACACAGGGAAGGACTACGTTGAGTAGACGCTGCATGCAACCCATATTCAACAAATGGAGATGTGTAATGCTTACTAATAAAACCGGGTATATATTGCGAGATGCACTGCGTATCTTCTCTGTAGAAAATGAAGAGCGAGAAGAACCGGAAAACCCCCCCCCCCCAAAAAAAAAAAAAAAAAAAAAAAACCCGGAAAAATAATAATAATAATAATAATATAAATTACTAAGAAAGCGGAGGGCGCTGACATACATCGCAACATATTTTATCGGTCGATGCGTGACCTCCACTCCAACCGGGAAAACCCAGCCATCTATAACTTCACCTTAATCGTCATTTATGAAACTTCGCCTTCACTTTTTCTTTCCTTGAAGAAACGTTCCTCTCTCTTTTTATTTGTTCTTCCTGTCTTCGCCTTTTCCTCGCTATTCCTTTACACACTCCCCCTTCACATCTTCATTCGACGCTCTCTTGTTGCATGAAACGAAGCATCCCTTCATCACTCCGCGTCGGCGCCATAGCCAGAGTCCACCACGTCCAGGGGGTCCTCTGCCTGCCGTCGCATTGCCTCTTCACGTCTCTGCCGCTTTGCTCGCAAGCGTTCTTCTTTCATGTTTTCTTTTCGGCGCACGTTTTCGTCCTGTTCCGCCCTTCGCTTGGTCTTCTCGCTTCTCTTTGCGCGAACCTTCATGGCGTTTTGTGCCACCTCCGCCGGTGTCTTGCTCTCAAACCTATGAAACAGCACCTCACCGCTGGCAAACCCGTTTGTAACCTTCACAAGCTGCAGCGTGAGACGAGGACCAATCTCCTGGAGTTTAATGCGGCACTGCTCGCGGTGTTGGCGGAAGGGCTGAGCGAGTGGCACTTCCTCGCCCTCTCCATCCGTGTCGGACCACACATCTTCGCGGTCAAGAACATCGTCAATGGACTCCAGCGTCCCAAGCTTCGTTGGGCAGCGACGTTCAAGAAGTTTTTTGACTGTCTTACTGACGCCCACAGCCTTCGCATTAATAAAGTAGTGTCGCACCTCCACAACGTGCTCCACATGGTCGTAGTGAAAGAGACACACACGTTGAATGTCAGAGTTCTTCACCAACTGAATATTCACTGTGGGGAACATACCTTTAAATGTCGCCTCCAACAATGACACCTCAGGCCGTCGCTGGGCATCGGGGTGGGTAAAGTTGTTCAGCACGACAATGGGCGCCACCTCCCAGACGGCGTGGCTTAGTGACACTGGACGACGCTGCGTCGCGACAACCTCATGACGCAGCTCAAAAGAAAGGACACGGAAGCATAACGTCGGACCGTTGGCAAACCGCATGATGCGCAGTGACGTTCCATGCGGGGGTGCAGTAAACAACTGCAGATGTGACACACTAAAGGTTGAGGCAATGACCAGAAAGTCTTTAAGGGAACTGTTTTTGCCATGAAGATTTCTGCTGCTCCAAGGCAAAAACACCGCACGCCAGTCATGCATGAGGGCGCGAACGTTATTACCAACCTCGCCTCTGTAAATAATAATTGACTTCGGTGTTGACTTGTCCGCCTCCGTGGTGTCCACCGTCCCTGGCATCACCTTGGACTTTCCCATGTCGCAAGCCCGTATGCGTGTGTGTGCGCGCTACTATGCAATGGCTACTGTTTCTACCGCCGCAACTTCCTGGAAACTGTTGTCCATCAGCACCACCGAAGCAACACACACATAAAAAAAAAAAAAAACAACAACAACTACAACAATAGGGAGGTCATGAAACACAGTCAACCAACTAAGAGGATGAATGACATACCACCCCAGCATAAAACACAGCAAACACACAAGCACAAACAAAAATGTTTTAAAGATGCTACCATCACACCTTTGCCAACATAACGACTCGGTAATGGAGATGCACAGCAGTTGTATAGTGTCTTGCACTAACGCAGCCAGTAGCCCGGGTTTTGGACGGTGCCGTCGAGGAGAGTGCCGTACTGATTGGAGCAGACCCTGATGATATCCAAGGCTTCTTCTACGCCACGCATTTCGCCATTGAAGACGAATTCGTTCAGCTTCTTTCCGTCTGTTGTCTTGTAGTCACGCATCCACCGAAAAATAGTGTCCTTTAGCTCCTGTGGAAGCTTTTGAAGGCTCCCGTACATGTCACCTCCGTCAGACCGCAGCGTCTCTGCGATAATCTTCCAGTCCGTCTCACCCTCGTCAATAAGCCCCAACACACCAAGCACGCGCACAGCCCTAATAGATCCTGTAGAGAGAGGTGATTTGGAGACTTCTACAACGTCTATGGGATCACCATCGCCGGTGCACTTCGTCACAGCGTCCACCACCAGCGGGTTTTCCCACGTTTGTGGAGCAAAACCGTAGTTAAAAGGAATGTCTCCATACGTGTAGAAGCGCAGCGGTTGGCCCTCCTTCTTTTTTGCAACATCGTGTGCAAGGGGGTTGTAAAGTTCCGTCAAGTTTAACTCAATCTTCGCCCGCGTCCCTTTCGGGATCTCGCAGACAAATGTAACAATGGACGTGTCCGCGGCAGGATGCAGGATGAGATCGTGCCAAGCCGAGCATATCTTGCTCGCAGGCGCTGTCAATCCCTTCAACTTTGCCGTTGACGGAGCGGAGTTGCTGGCAAAAAACATCCGCCATGCATGAGTGCCTGGAGTCCCAACTTCCTGCCGTTTCCACCTCGGAAGCGCTGGTCCGGCACCGGCGGTGCACCACAGACATCTTGTGCCACGCATTTCCTCGCTACCGTCAAACCGCGACCCCAACACACACAAGAAATTGCAAGAATCGTCGAAAGAAACAAACACCGAGCACCACAAAAAAGTAAAAATAAATAAAAAATGGAGACACGACACTCATAAAAAAAAAAAAAGGAGGGGAGGAAACGCGCCCGCACCAGCATGACAGCTAATCTCCGTTACGTTTGCGCCCACCAGGGTGGCTGGTGGCTGCTTCTCCCTCTTCTTTCTGCCACACGGAGATAACAAAAAACAAAAAACTATCTCGCACGCGAGGCAATAGCCCCGCAGCACTGCTGCAGCGCCTGATACACAACACGAAGTACAGGCCAAACAATAAGCCACAAATATGAACAAACAAGTCCAACGGCGCGCCGCGCAAAGGGAACATAACTCAGCGCATACCACAACAAACAAAACACCTGAACCACCGCAAAGATGATGGAAAACAAACTTGACTTCCAGTACAATGCAGCCACAAGTGTAAGGATGGTGGAAACAGCGTACATGACAGCTGCCTCTAGGCGTTTGGCATCGAAGAAAGACCGCATCTGCTTTTGAAACCCCACCAGAAAAGCTGTGGATGTCACACAAAAAATGTTTCCTGTAGTGAGAAAGAAAGTAAACTTCTTCGGAAAAACGGCAACGGTAGGCGCAAAAAATGCTGCAATCGCGATAAAGCACAACCCCATGCCAAGAGTAGCAAAGAAACCCACAAAACGTTGCCGGTATGTGAGGGACGACAATTCTTGCAAGTCGTCTATCATTCCATTGCCTTGTGGCATCTCCATAATTTCTACTTCATCTGGTGGCTCATCCGTGAGGAGATTCCGCGCCTGGTGCTTAAAGTTGTCCCAGTAACGACCTGCACCGCCAAAGACAGGGCCGATGTTGTCCTGCGCCTGAGCAAGCAGCCCCGCCCCACCTGTGGGGCCCCCCGACGTGTGGCTCCCCGACGACAGCTTCCGACGTAAAATCGTGAGCTTTACCAACTAGGCTGCAAAAAAAAAAAAAAAACGCTGCTGCTGCCACAAAACAAGCACCATTACAAGTGGGTGCATACATATTTCACAGAAAAAAGGAGAGGCGGAAGTTTAGTACGGTTGTGAAAGGGCCCGCCAAACACAACATCAATATCCAACCGCAGATAAAGAGTAAAGCTAGGCGCACCCTCTGCGGAAAAACAACAACAGCAACAACAAGATAATCGTCACTCTCCAAACGCAGAGGGCCACCACGTAACAAGAAGCTCACACCCAAGCAAGAGTATAGAGGAGTTTTTGGTAGAAAACAAAATCCTGTTGGAGTACGACCACATGCATCCTCCCCAGTCAAGCGACCCAAGTTTCCAACCCACCCAAGGCCTACCCTATGGTTGTGAGGATAACTCCACCCATCCACTCCCCAGTGGTCAGGAAAAGCAGGTGCCGTCAACCCCGTCGTTTGCTTCTTCCCCCAAAGTGAGACCACATTTATTTTCCGCTGTGCACACAAAGCCACCACATGAAAGTGCGATAAACGCTAACAATGGCACGAGTAAGACGCTTTAACCGCCGTGAGAGCAACAAAAAGGAGATCATAGCGCAATAAGCCAGTGCCAGAGCGACACAGTCTCTCTACCTCGCATTCCCAGGAGTGGAAACGGCAGTGACCCCCACCTCCAACACCAGCAGTCCTCGGTGTATCCTCACGCAGTTTAGAGTCAGTGCCCCTCCCCATTCGCAGTAGTGAACACCACACCAGCATGGAAAAAAAAAAACACAATATCAGCCTTTCCGTATGTGTGCTCTTTTTTTACTCGTCATACGTCTCCCACTTCGGCAGCGGCAATGCATCTCCGTCTCGTTGTTTCTACACCTCCTCGGGTTGCTTGCTGTGCCACGTAGAAGACTCCACTTCTTCAGTGGCAAAAACAGTCACGGCCACATTATCCTGCGCAAAGGCAGTAGGGGGCAACTCTTCCTTCAGTGCCGCATTTTCAGCCGGATGCTTTAACTTCCGCTGCAAAAGTACACTATGCACACGCAAAAGTCGTTCCTTTATTTCTGAGAGTTGTCGAAGCAAAACTGCCACGTTCGCACGACATCGTGCAATTTTGGCGCTGTAAAGGCCTAATTTGCGGCGATGAACGTCGTTGAGAGCATTAAAATGCATTCGGGCCTTCTCTAGCTCCTCATTCAACGCCTCAATTTTTTGATGAAGTCGTTGCTGCTGTGCAACAACGCTCTGTGCAACTCTCCCGGCATCAACAACGGGCTGTAATAGTGCAGTTATGCCGTCCGTAACACTACGTACAGTGGAAGGCGAAGTGCATGCCTCTTCTACCACTGTCTCTGGCATTGTAAAAGGCCGCCAGGAAGGGCGTCACGCGGGTGGAGCTCCGGCCCGCCGCCCACAATGCCCTTCAGAATCCACACGCACAAATAGAAGCAGGACGCCAAAAACCGTGTGTTAGAGCGGAAGAAAAACAGCACGAAGGAGGACGCAAACTGCCCAGCATCCTCATCGAGTGAGTGTGAGGGGAAATTTTCACAAACACAAACAGGGGCTTGGAGTGAAGCAGCAAAAAAAAAAAAAAACTAAATCACAAAGGCCGAGAGAAAAACGGTGTTACACGGATCAAAAAGAGAGCTTCGTCTCCTTCACATCATGCGATAGTTATACATCCAAGGCTGAGGACCTTGACGAATGCCATCAAACGACGGGGGCTCCCTCATCTTATACTTTGAGAGCGTCGTTGTTACCTCCCCACGCGCCACCTCATCACCTTCACCATCGCCATCGGTGCGCAACGACAGCCGTCTCAGGCAGCGCATAAAGTGTACCTTCCCTCCCCAGACTCTAAGATACGGACAGTTTTTAATAAGCAACGAGAAGGGGACACCGTCGGCATGCGTACGAACACTAAACAGAGGGTCTAGCCGTCGAATGATACCGAACAGCTCCTGAGGCCGGATTTCCACCTCATCGTAAAAGTAGCAGACACCAGGGTCCTCATTCGACGAAGACGCGGACGCCCCCGAATTGTCCCTGGAGCCAAATGGTGTTACGACATCATTTTCAGAGACAAATTCAGCTGGAAGAGGGGGACCATACTTTAACACCGCGTCATGCACCAACGCATCAAAGCGCTCTTGAATGATGCTATTACCGCTAGTGGAATCTACACTACTGTACCGCAGATACTGCGGAGAAACAGAAAAAGAACGATGACGTTGGGCGATACCTGCATCGCGCGCGGAGGCTCTCACGCGAGCGTCATGCTCCGCAAGCGCTTCGTCCTGCTGACTGCGCAAAAACTCCACATCTGCATACGAGAGATCGCTGCAGCTAACAGATGGGGTCATTGCACGATTTTGATTGCGCTTTGCATCCCCTTTGATCCGCATTGCACTCTGTTTCGCCAGGTGGGTTCTACTAATGCGATATGTCGACCTCTGCGCAGGATTTCTACTAGTAGCTTTCATTACGGTCGCGAGCCGGCGCTCTGAACGCCATTGCCGACCTGCCCCGCCCAACAGACCACGGAACATATGATGGAAAAAACAACTCCTTACAGCAGCTAACAAAGACAGAAAGTAATGGAACAAAGCACAGTGATTTTTTTTTTTGTGTGTGTGCAAACAGTCTGAAGCAGTACTGTGGTACAACCTCACGAGTTAGACACGAAAAAAAAAATATTCATTAATAACGAGCACATTAAAACCAAAATCCATACTACCACCACTACTTGTCACAATAATAATAATAATGTCAATACTAGTTGCACACACAGAAAGGAAGTTAAGAAGTGAGGGAGTACAACATACCCAAATTCTTGGTCTTATTATTACTTCTCTTCGGCCTGTTGGCCCTCCCATTTGATACATCGGTGATGTCCCAGATGTGTTTGGGGTTTTTGGCAGGCCCCAGTGTATACGACCTCGTTTACGTAAGTCATTCGGTAAACTCACTGTCAGCGCCCTCTCGCTGAAAAGTTATTTCAAAAGTAATAAGTCCCACATTTTTCTTTGTTGCCTCCTCTTTGGAATGATTTTCATCACGCTCAGACATATTCGGTTTCTCTTCAAAAAGATACTTTTGTTCTACCCCTGCTGGTGTGTTGGATTTCATAACTAACGAGTGGACCCTTGAAGTCTCCGAGGCGTTTGACACGCACGCAAATGGATTGGCCATTGCACGTTGTACAGCCACAGGGCTCAAGTTATTACTGGCTGGTGGTGTTACACACATTCGATCCCAATCTCGCCGTGGCCCACCCTTCACAGTACCGGTTGTTAAGTCCGTCGCCGCCATTTCCTTCTCATTCTCTACAGGGGCATAACTATTGTCTTCGTAGTTATTGTATGAAGTCATTATACTGTCCGTTATGCGTGGAACCGGCTTTTCCACCACCTGTTCCTTTTCTCTCACAATAGAAACAACCGATACAGCAGCATGCTGACTCGCATCCGGACGACTGTAACCACTGTTGGGACTATATTTGGTCAGACGCGATGTGGTAGAATTTTCGTCACATAACTGCGTAGTGCCATCTTCCTTGGCTACCATCGAGGTGGCATCTTCCACGCGTAAATGTTTTACATTTCCCGTTGATAATAAGACACGATCCTCATCGTTCACCACATCACTGATTTCCACGCCGCTATTGTCGTAATCATAGGGCAAAAGCAACCCACTGCGACACTCCTCCGGTGCCACAAAGCAGCGCCTGCGAAGCCTGAACCACATAAACTCCCCACGAGAGAACGTCATGGCTCTGACCTTGTCTGGGTAGTACTCCTGGTTGAGGATGGAAGCAAGGTCAAGAGGTCGTTCGCACCGCTCAACCTCCACCTCCCCGGTGTTGTAGCGACGAATCAGTCCCAGCACCAACTGGCACTTGTACGACGCCTTACATAGACCATCGACTCTCGTTTTGAAGCGAGACACCAAGACGGCACGGTTTCCAATTCGCTTCTTATTCCCCACCTTGCATCCTGAAGAAACAATACATGCAGAAGTCGGGTTCGTCACATAATCCAACACCTTTAGATCACGTTCATTTTGCGAGGGATGCAGCAACAAGAAGTCCACAAGTCGCACATCTTCCTCTTTCGATTGAATGTCACGTGGAGCCAAAAACGGAGAACGGTAGCGGAGTTCCATGGTTTTGGAGGTATCCGACGTAAACCCAAAGGCGTACGCTGTCACATGCCTGCGAGCAGCACCGTTTTCGGTGCCCGTCTCTTGTTGAACCTTCCCGACATCCAACCTCACTTGGTCGATCAGAACCACCATGGAATGATAATCCCTTACAGGAACGGTAAGGGAGCCGTCGTAGTGAGCCACCATGGTGAGGTGAAGCGTAAGAGGCACGCCTGTCTCATTCTTGGGTAATTTTGGGTGCGACGGAAAGAGCTGCAGTGAAATACGTCGTTTTCCCCCAACCGCGTTGTACGCTTCGCTGGGGTCCGCCCCATTTTTGTCACACAGGTAGAAGGCAGACGCATTTTTAATGTACTTACTAAGTATCATGGACAGAGAGGGGCTAACCTCCTCTTTTTTGCCAGACAAACTTCTTTTTGAAAACTCTGAAGCAAGTTTGATTGAAGCCTTCTTGAAAACAC